CGCGGAGAGAAACTCCACAGCTCACGGAGAGTTACAAAGCAGGTACGTTTATTGCAGCGCCACGTGCGAGGGGGATCACTCCTCCTCGCTTGCACACCGAGTCACAAAGCACGCACCTATTTATTACAAAATTTATCTGTGTAGGTGGGATTATTGTAATTATTTCTAGGAATATGTGTGATTATGATAATTATTTCTAGGAATTCATTATCGTACTCCACCCCTCTTTAGCACTTGCGCAGTATTGTCTGGTGGTTTTCTGTGGGGGTCTTCTGGATGAAGGCTCGTCGTCTTCCTCGCTGTGTGCTTTCACCTTTGGCTCAAAAATTCCTGGGTTGTTCATATTGGCTGAGTCCCAAACCATAGAACCAGTTTCAGCTGGAGAGTTGCTTCTTACAGACAACAAAGTTCTGGTTACCAGTCCTTCTTTTTCTTCGTTTGTCTTGCAGGCAGTCCTTGTTAGCTACACTTGAGTTCACAGCAGCCCTTGTTAGCAAGGTTACAAAGAACAGAACTAAACTAAATGTCAGTGGTTAACTCGTACCTTCACGTAGCTGCAAAGCTAGATAACAAGATTAGAGTAAAGCTGTAACAAAATCGAACTAAACATCCATTTCCCACATCAGTTTGGATGTATGTACCTTAACTTTTGGCTGTGTACACGTTAACGTTTGGAAGAGGGTACCTTAACGTTTGGCTGTGTGCACATTAACGTTTGGATGTATGTCCGTTAATGCCCGGCTGTGTACACATTAGCACGCGTAGATGAGCGCTTGTTCAAAGCAGATCCACACGTCTGGAATCAGAAGGATGGTTTAGGCGCACTGCACAAGATAAATGGCTTCAGAAGAAAGTAATTAAATAGAAAAGCTCCTTAGTAGTTATGCACAGCACGTATGTGTAGCCTGAGGCCATCAGAGTTTTTCAGTTTCAAGGCAAGCATGCCTGAACGCAAACATTGGCCTCCTTTACACTGGGTAAAAAGCTGAGATCTACTGAAACGGAGTATTTTAGCTCCAGCTTGGGTTAGTCACAGCAGGTGGCAGTGTGTACAAGACTAAGTTAATACTCTTGGATGTCAGGCACTTAACCAAAATTTGCGAATACTACACAGCACAGAAAATACCGCAGGAGAGCAGGAAACAAACACGCACCATTGCTGGCAGCTAAGGGCAGCTTATGTCGATGCTGTATGTTTGGATTGCAAAAGCTAGGGAAGCGTCTGAAGAATATCTGCCAGAAATTTACATTTAATGAATTTGCAGTCAGTCTTACAGAGCTGGCATTTCACACTCTGCAGTAAAAAAGGGAAAAGATACTGAGCTGATCTATTTGTTTTGCTTTGTCCATCTGTTATTCTGGCTGCTTAGACAACAGAAGCGTTGGAAGTAAGATGGCATAACTTCACACCAAACATATATTGACACGAACTTTGATATGTACAATATAACAGGTCGGTGTATCGGTAAGTGTGGGTATTGTATCTCGTTATAGCTGCATTATCAGTCATCACCGTAATTGTCAGGAAGGATAGACAATAAGCAAGTATCACCTCTGTCTTTAGAGACGGAGGCAAAGCATTGGTGTGAACTGGCAGTCAGGATGAAGTGACGAAGCAGAGATAGAACGTCTAGTTTTATACTGCTGCCGACAAAAGATAACTGGAGATCTAGAGCTGCCACCTATTTATTGCAGCTCTAAATACCAACGAGCTGCTTGCTGCTTCTGCCGTACGCAGGTGTCCGATGCCCTGCCTGCCCTGCAGCGACAACCTTTGGGAGCAGTTTGCTGTATTTCATAAAAAAAAATGGGTCAAGCTCATCTGCTGTTTGTTAAAGAAGGTGACTGACACAAGTGGGCATGACGGCTGTTCTCCGTTCAGCCAGAATGAGAGGATAGCTCCCACACAGGCTTGCTTAGCCGTGGAATTGCATCCAGATCAGAAGCCGTCTGTGAGGTTGAATTACGTGAGCAGCTAGTGCCACTGTTGGCTGAACGTCAGT